AAATACCTCATATGTTACGTATAAGCGCATAATCATAATTTATTCAATTTAATTAAATTAAAATCGAAAAATAATTTGTATTAGAAGTCTATTCTTTCAATATATTCAATAGAAATATAAATGCGTGCCTATTTATGTAAAAAGTTTCTTAAACCCAATTTCGCAGAATTGATAAAATTATTATCTCTCTCTCTCTCTCTCTCTCTCTAATACAATGGCTCTTACAATTCTAAATTTGAAAATAGACATTAGTTTTATTTTCCAAGAAAATTATAGGTAAAAGCTTAGAAAAATTTAATAATATTATTTTTGGAAAAAAAAAAAGAAATCCAAATTAAGTTCTTTATTTACAATTTTGGTTATGTGGAAGGCGCTTGCATTCGTAGAACATAAAAACAAAAACCCTATTAAATTTTATTGTAACTTTAATAAAATTTAATTAGAAATTCCATTTTTTTTTCTATTTTACTTATGTATAGATTTACTATGAGTTCTATACGGGAACCAAAAAAAAAATTTTTCTATTTATAATATTGAATCTCTAATTATTATTACATGGAATACACCATGAATTCTAAATTAGTTTTATCATGTTTTACACAAACAACAAATTTCCCTAGAAAATAAACTAAATTTTTTTTTTTTTTTGTTAAGATCTTTTTTTTTAATAAGGTTTTCTTGTACACATATTTTTTTTCTACAGAGTCCAATTATTGTTAGAGAATATCCATTGAAAATTCATAAAATTACATGTAGAGGAGAGCCTATTACTGTGATCACCTACCAATTCATACATGTATCATAGGCGCGTATATCATTTAGATGACTCCAAGTGACTTGGATACTCATATACGAATACCAAATAAATCAATTTTATTTTTACTTCCATTTCATTATTTTGGAATTACATAATATGTTTTGTATATGATCAGTTATATAAATATATAATCAGACTACATGGCATCGTAATCTATAGAAATATTGGAATAAAATCCAATTTCCTTAATAACTAAATTTATAATATCTATAATATATGCTTCTAATCTTATATGCAGTGTACCTATATACCTGCAACCTACCTTTTGTTTTTATTATCTACTAGATATATACCCTATATAAACTATATTGTACAATCGTGTTAACTATTTATTGATGTAAATGACCTCCTGTAGTGATTCAATTATGTTTTTATAAAAAATAAGTCTCAAAATCAATACCACAAATTTAAGTAAGTAAGTAGGTATTCTCTATGCATATATTATTATTATAAATATGGAATCAAGATTATTTTAAATGAAAATGTGTAGATATGTACATATATATACAGAAAAAAGTGATATATTATGTGTCGTAGTCCCTTACATACACACTCTCCTTCTACACTACATTCACGTATAATATGGTAGGTACCTAACAAAATAACTCAACTCAACAGAAGACATTAAAAAAATTTTGGAAGAAAACAAAGAAACAAGAATAAAATAAGATTATACATGACTGTTATTCTACTAACGTTCATACATATACTTATGTCTTTTGTATTCGGAACTCATAAATAATGCATATTAAAAGCACGTTTCCGAAAAAAAATAAGAAAAAATTATAGAAGAGAAAAAGTAAAAATGCCCAAAAGACGTATGGGTGTTTAAACATAGCAAACTTATGTACATAATAGAAATCGAAATCATTTTGAATAAAAACAAATAAATGAATAATATGAATAAGATCCAAAAAAAAAATATGAGAGGTTGGAAACAGAATGTTGGATGCTCTATCATAGAAAATTAGGTAACCGTATATTTTTTTTAACATAACTTTCTAGTAAATTATAAATATATTACAAATAACATAATAAAAAAAATTGTGACTGAGATATTCGCATAGAGACTATCAGAAATGGAAGACAAAATATTTTAAGATCTAGCCAACTGAAATCATTTAAGTTTCAATGTGAAAGTGGAATTGTTGTTGGAAAGCGGGATCCTCTTGCACCACTCGGTTCCCTTAAAAAATTATAATCTACAAGCCTTCTGCAACCTCAACTGGATACAGCAACAATATAATATGAAAATTCAGATTACAATTCCTTAATACTGAAGAATATATAACATGCGTGTGTAAATCAATGTAAGGTAAAGTGCTTTAAAGTGATCTGGACTACACTCACTCTCCAAATTAATCAAGATGAAAAATTGAAAGAAAAGCATAAAATTTTACTTAAAAATGGTGAATTTATTATAATATCCGTACAAGTGCCTGTGATTGCCTTTTACTAGAATTTCGTCTATTAGATGTTTTTAACACTTTTCCAAAAAAAAATTGGAAAAAAATTGAAAATCACTTACTTAACCATTGATTCAACCAATATGTTAATGTTATTGTAATTTTTTCTTTTTCTCATTCTAAAAGTATGCAATAATTATATGGACATACCTTGACTCATGAACAAAAGTAAATAAATTCAGTATTTTTAACTTGTTCAAGGGATATGTTTTATTTTAAAAAACATTGGTTTTAATCAACATTAAAGGTCGTTTCCGTGAAATTCAACTATTGTGAACTGAGTTTCGAGGCACAACTCAATTAAATTATATATACATATGTATTAACAATGTATTAACAATATAAAAATTTTGAATTTCAGCGTATTAACAAATTTTTCAATAACTAATTAAGAAATGAGTACTTAAAAACCTTTGTTTAATTAAAAACAATAGTACTAATGAAATTCGATTTAATTAAATAAAAATATATTTTATTGTTTTAAAATCTTTTAATCAAAATGAAATTATTTTGATTGCCTGAAACCTTCACATTATGTATAGACTTTGCTTCATAACACAATGAAAGGAAAATGGCAATTATTGTTTTAACAAATGAAAATCTATAAAAGCACACTGTCAAAACAAAATATTAAAAATGAAAAACTTTTCATATATCAATACATCAATCAAATCGAAAACTCAATATACTAGAAAACTTACAAATTTAATTGTAAGAATTTGTTGTTATCGGAAAAATGAAAATTGGAAAAAAATTTCAATTTCAATTGAGAAAGTTTTAATACACGGTTGAAATATTCTTAAAAATAAAATGAAAAAAAAATATGAGAAAATTCAATGATAATGATGATAACAACAATGATAATGATGACGCTGCTGATGAAAATAATGATGGTGATGATGATAACATCAAACAGTAAATATGAACGTAGCATTTTTATAATCAGAACAGCACACATACAAGAAAAACAGAAATGATGAACAATAATAATAATAACATTGGTAGATATAACAAAGAAACAAACAAACAAACAAACAGTTACAACATGTACAAATAACAGCAACAACAACAAAACATAATATAGGAAAAGACGTTGTTGTTCACATTTTCTGTACAAATAAATTAGGAAGCAATCAGAAAAATGTATTTTATTCCCATTTTCTTCCACTTGAAAATTTGTTGTTGTTCTCTAAAATACTTTTCTTTCTTTTATTATTATTTTCCTTTTTTAAATATTACTTTAAGGTGTTTTTCTAAAATAACAATAGAATTTACTAGCATTATGGTGCGTATGCAGGTTATGTACCAATGTTATGTATATGTATGTATTATACTCGTATATAGACATTATGGTGTATATTGTAAATATTATAACGATCGAAGTAAAAATCTATATACATTAGAAAATTGAGAATAAAAGAAGAGGAAATTTTCGTTAAGGGAGAAATAATTTATGGAATCATAGAAGTTGGAGGAGCTTTAAAAGTATTAAAAATCAAATAACAAGTTTGTTTTCCTTTATAACATAGAAGAAAGTGTTGTCGCGGTGATTTTTCTCGAAAATTTAAAAAGAAATCTATATTGAGAGCTATTATGAATTGAACTCTAAGCCTTAGCCTGCTAAGGTGATCTCTCTAAGCCTGTAATGTTCCGTCAAGATACCGGTGAAAATTCTTATCCGGTTCTTGCCCTAACCTATAGTTTTCATAAAATCACTTATGACTATAATCTCCAAAAAAAAACCTGGGCGTGCTGCAGCCCGGAACATTTCTACAGCACTCTGACTGCCTCCTCTCTGATTCCTTTCTAAGCTTTAAAGGAATAGTATGTGATCGGACTACACAGAAGGGCTCCGTGCTAAGAGAAGATTTGCTAGCCCCCTTCATTGGCAATGTATCGGCCGTCCCGCTACCTTTCACGCCCGCATGTCCAGGCAACCACCACAGTGTTACCCATATACACGTTCTATACACAGTTCTCTGATCGATCCGTATATAACACGAAGCTATATCTTCTAACCATATCATCCCTAGGCAGTAAAAGAAGCAGAACCTTACCGGTGAGACACTCCCATTTCAAACTTTTTCATCCCATTTTTTTCTAACAATAGAATTGCCACTTTCACCACCATCTCGACAACGAAATGCAGTCAGGTTAGTCCCAAAATTACTTCCATTGCCGCCTTTTAACGCTTCGAATTGACTACTGCACACACAAACCAAATACAAGCGGAATCTGAGGAGTATTAATACCCAGTTGTTTGAGAAATGGCTGTCTTAATGGCAGGCTTCTTGCGAAATGGCGATTCTCTAAAAATTTGCCATTACTTTAAGTTTTTGTAAGTTTTTTTGGAATTTCTATACAGAAACCACTTCCTTTTCCAAATTTTTCGAATAAATATTTTATAAGACGACGGTAACACTTGCAATTTTTCCTCTTTAACAGATATAACATACCAATCCATTTTTCCTTTTTAAGAAACAAGTACAATTTTCAAAATTACTTCTTTGTTATTATTTTATTATTATTTCGTTTGTTTACTTTTCTTAGATAATTCGTTATTGAACATTTCTACTTACTTAAATAATTATTGTAACAAACTATATACATACACACAATTTGTGTAATAGCAAATACACAAAATATAAAGCAAGTGAAATCAGAAAAACGAGAAAATCCTATTGTATAAACTTTTTATAATAATAAGAAAATTTTACCTTTTCCCAAATAAGTGATGGTTCTGGATTGCCTCTTGGTGGTCCACATTCTAATAATGCTGTTTCACCAGCTGCTACACGTGTGTCTTTAGGCTCAACACGAAAATCATCACGTAGAACTGTAAATATTGTAAAAAAAAAGAATTTAATTTTATTAGTAAAACAACGTTACAATTTAAGACGAAACATAGATAGTAAATGTGTATTTTATATAAGTATTGTATAGCAAGGAAAAATAACAAAAAAATCATTATGAAAAATTTATTTGCCAAGGTAAAAAAAAAAATAATTTTCTTTTTCTATTATTACTGCTAGCTTTTTTTTTTATTATTGATCTTAAAAAGGTTGAATTTTTAGCGTAGAGTAGGCAAAAGAAATATGGAATATAAAACGCTTAAAAACAATGTCAATAAAATTATAATGCAATTAACTTTGATTTTTTCCTTTTAAAAAAAAAAAACATTTTTTTTTTTTATTATAACAATTAAAAATTTTGTATAAGAAAATACAGAAGGACATAAGGTGTATTAATTGTAAAGGAATGGGATGAATTTTTAAGTATATATTTCGAATAAAGGAAAGGGTGACGAGGAATATAAATTCGGCGAAAACTTCTATAGAATTTTATTTTGTTTGCAAATTGGAATTAGTTTAATTCTATTCTTATCTAAATTTTAGTGAAATCAATTTGGGCGAACAATTTCTTTTAGTTAACAATTATATTAATAACTCAATTCTTGATTTTAATTAATCCATATGGCGGAATTATGAGAAATAGTCAATTAATTTAAAGTTTCGCGCAAATTTCGCTCATTTTCCGATTTTTACACTTTTCGCAATCACTGTCAATGCATTCTCATTTCTGTGACAAATTTTTTGCTTTCATATTTTTAATTTCTTGAATATCAACCAAGCTTTTAATAAGATTAAATTAAATAAATGCTCCCTTAATCTCAAATAAATGAAAAATGAACTCAAACTAGAGTAGGTCCAACTGCAAATATTTGACATTTTTATTTACGCTTAGATTTCTGTGTTTCCTTTTTATTTCATATTTTGTTACTCTTTTTTTATAATATTTTTAATTGAATTCCATTTTGTCTTTCTCTTAATTTTCAAAATTTAATTAAAATTTCAATATTGAAAAGATTTTATAAAGATATTTTTTTTTTAAATTTTTTTTGCCTTTCGCGTTATAAACTTATAGGTATAGGTAAAGGTATTCCACGTGTATACTAAAATGGGCATGAAATACATCTTTAGGCGAAATTTAATTAAAATTTTCAAAGGACCCTACATAAAAGAAAGAAAACTAGATAAAATGAGAAGAAAAGAAAAAAAATACATGAAATTTTCTTTTTTTTTTTTTTAAATGAAATTGACAGGTAAAAAATAAGTAATGTTAACTATAAGGTACTTGTCAAGGATTTTCTAAAATCATTAAAAAAATTTTATAAAATTATCAAATAATATAATTTATTATATAATTTTATATATATAATTTCCGATAAGCGTACGAAATCTATAAAAGTCAAATGACGAAGCAAATGAAAATTTGCTAAATGAGTTGCCTTTCTTAGATTAGATTAGATTTTAGATTTTCAAGGGAACCGAGTGGGGCAGGAACGACCCTACGAGCCACTGCAGCCATTTTTGATTTATTGTAGCCTCCCCACCTAAAATATCCCCGTCCCAACTATAAAGCCGGAGATATCCCCAAGGGAGTTGGACAGTAGTTCCCGAACACTTATTTCTTTATTTTTATTTTTTTTATTTTTATGGATCACAATTGTGCGTACAATAAGTGAGTTCTTGTGATCATCAAAGATTGTGCATATAATATTGAAATTTTGCCTGAATTTTTTTAGACCAACGATGGTCTGTAGGCATGTTACTTACTTTATAAAACGGGTTGTTACGTTTTTGCGTTAAAAATGAAGTTGGCAGTAGCAAACTTTGTGGAATTTAAAAATACTACTAAAGAGAAATACAAAACAAACGGGGTATAAGAAGACAACACACTAGACTTCTTTTATTGCATTCTTTAACCTTTATTCATTGTTCTTCAAATGGAAAACAAAATATTTTTAAAAACTACAACTGTATTTTAATTAAAACTCTCATATCCTTATATAATTCTAAATGAAATTATAAGATGAGTAAAAAATTTTTAATGAAATTTTTTTTTTCAATTGAAACATAAAATATTCAAAAACGGAAAATGAGTTTTATTATATAAAATTAAATGAGGAAAAAAATATTTGCACAGGCACAACAAAAAAACAAAAATAAAAAATTTTCATAAAATATTTTTCAATATCATAATTTTCTTTCTTCAGGTTATTGCATTGAAAGGGGTAGTTTGTATATAAGAGAAATAAATAATTATTAATGGGTAGAAATTTTTTGACCTATCTTTCATAAAAATCAGGTCAAATATAAATTTTAATTTTAGAAAATTGTATTTTAAAATTTTTTATTATTGTATATGTATAACATTAATAAATTAAATTTTAAAGTATATTTATTTTTAAATTAATTGCAAAAAAATAATAAAACATTGTTAAAAGGATTTTTAGTTTTGAGGACAAGAAAATATTGTCATTTTGCATAGCAGTACACTGTGCCCCTTAAAATTTTTGTACATTAGTATATGAAACGTGTTCAACAAGTATTCTTCTCAGTCAATGTAGAAACTATTTTACGAATATAAAATGCAAGAAATTAAATATTCTAATGAATACTCTTGTGAGTCTTTAAAAGACGTGCAATGTTGTAATAATTTTCAAAATTAAAGATTCTATAATAGCAACACCAATATAGTAGTAGTATAATTATCTATAATTCTCTGATACTTTCCTTGTCTATATATTGATAGACAGTTATACCTGATATCTATATACATAGATCGCAACAAAATGCATGGTTCTCAAATTGGAATTTTGTTAAATTTTTAAACTAATAGGTACCATCACCAAATTAGTTTCATAAAATCTTGTAAATTCTTTTAATTATTCTAGTATTTTAATTAAACTAATTAATTTTTATTTTACAACTTAATTAATTTAAGTCTTTAAATTTTAAACCATTTAAGAAGCAAAGAAATCACAAAAAATTTAATTTTAAAAATCACATTTAATTAAAAATAAAACAAAGAACCAAAAAGTTATTAATGTGTTCCTGGAAAAATTCCATTATTTTAATTATTTTGATTAAATGAGAATTAATGAATTTTTATAAGAATGCTATTGGAGTTTTTAATTTGTGACATAAACTAGATTGGAACGTTCAAAAACTTCACATTCTAACAAAAATTTTATAGACATTGAATATGAGAATTGTTAGAAGACAGCTGGTTTTATAAGATCTTTTACAAAGTACATAATAATTTTGTCTAAAAAAAAAATAAATTCTAATTAAATTCTTAATCGTAAGCAGTAAATTTGAATTTTTCCCAATTTCTTAATAAGTTTTATTTAAATAGCAAACTATTTTAATTTAATTTAAAAGTTTTTGATTTCAAATGAAAAATTTTTATGCTAGAAATAATAAAAATCCAGAAATAATAATCTACTAACACAAATCTGCGGAATACTTTTAAAGAATTTTTTATTTTATTTGTACTTTTATTTTTATTTTAAATGCATTGGAAACTATTTCATACATTAAAAATGAGACGGTAAATTAATATTAAAAAATGTGATAAAATTACCAGACATATCTAATGTATTTTATACATAATTTCTTATACAATCAATTACGTAATTGAGTAATTTTCTCGAGATAGCAATTCTGTTAAAAATAATAATTATGAAATTGAGAGTAAATTTCTCGACAAATTTTGAATTTTCTAAACGTAAAATTTGTTAAACTTGAAAAAGTTTAATTCGAAAGGTTTCTTATTACTCAAAGAACTTAAAAATTTTGAGTTTTAAAATTTCGGTATTCAAAGCGAAACGTAATACATCCTACTCATACCTTCACGTCACACCCATCATACCCTCATATTATTTCTCAAATTTGCAGATTTATAACCGAAATAATCTAATTTTTTTTTTAAATTGCATTTGATTTCTCTCTTAACAGCCGACTCCGAAATATTTCAAATATGATCGGGAAAGTATATATAAAATGCAATAGAAATGCAATGCAGATGAGACAATTGAAAACTATTGAAAAAAATTTTTTTTCAAATTTTCACATTATACCAACGCTACTATATTTGGTATTAAAAAACGAAGACCCAATTTACAAACTAAAATATTTAAGAAAAATACAACAAAATATTTTATAAGAAATCTTACAAAATTTTAAGAAAATCTTTTTGTTTTTGTTTTTTTTTCTTTCTGCTTAGAGAAAATTAAGTTTTTCTCTAACAAAATGATTAATTGCGAGCAGAGGTTAAATTCCATTCTAAATTAGTGAATCATTTAAAAAAAACAAAATAAGAAGAAGAAAGAAAAAATTAAATGAAAATCTTTGCTTTCAAATTTAATTGGAATTTCGTAAATCTGTTGAAAAATAAAATTTTAAAGAATCAATGAAAATTAAGTGAAAAGAACAACAACAAAACAAAAAAAAAAAAAACGATGCTGAAATGAAAAATGAAATTTTCCTTCTATTCAATTTTCCTGTAAATTTTGTGTCATCTTTTATTACTTTTAATTGACAATTTTCCAAAGATTTTTTTTCAAGAAAAAATTTGTAATAAAAATAAAAACAAAGCAATAAAATGAAGCAAATCCATAAGAAACGAATCTTAATTTCTTATAAAGGAATAGCTAAACCAAGAATAAAGAAAGAAAATCATTTTTCCAACTGTAAATTAAAAAATAAGAAGATTTATAACTAAGTATATAGGTACTTGTAAAATATTTATGTATGTATGTATGTACACATATGCGACTCTAAATTTGATAAAGAGAAAATTTCACTAGAAAATTAATTGAATTTTTACCGACCGTATTGTGTAAACAATAGGTAGGTTATGTGATGGCAACAAATTTTGCATATCGAGTTTTCGGTGGGAACGTACTTCTCCATAGTAGGGAAGTGTAAATAAACTATTTTTAGCAACCTGTCGGTCTGTCGGTCTGTCGGTCTGTCGGTCTGTCGGTCT